TGCTGCCGCAGGTGCCCTCTCTGCTTCCACCCCGGTGAGAAGGGGGTGTTGGGGAGGGCTCCTGGATCCCGATACCGGCACAGATGATTAGCATGCAGGAGGGGTTGGGGTCAAAGGTGGAAGGCTTCGAGCTGGCAGGAGAGAAGGGGGCCAGGACCAGGTGTAGGAAGGAGAAGGACATTGTCTGCCAAAACCGAGAGCAGGATGGGCATCCCAGGCCTGGGGCAGGTGGTTGCATCTGCAGAGGTGCTGCTGAGAGCAGGCAGGTTGATTTCTGAATCCCAGGTAGGGCTGGGAGTCAGGTTTGGACACAGGGTGCATGTCCCGAGGCTGGGGGACAGCAGGGCCTGGATTCCCCTGACCCTGGTGGGCGGGGTCCCTCCAGCACCTGTTTTGCAGGATCACTGCAGAACTTTCTGCTCCTGATGACAGGAAATATAAATTACAATTTAGCCCCGGCTTTCCCTGAGCCGACTGCAATGAGATGTCAGGCTCTTGCTTCAGCAATAAAGGGGACAGTACAAAATAGCACTCTTTCAAAAACAGCACCCAGAAAACATCACAGAGAGTGGCACCATTGGATAGGGTCTGGGAGACTTTCTTTCCGTTGGGGACCAGGCAGTGCCGGTTCTCATGGGGATTTTCCCGGCTCTTTGGAGGTGTCTAGGAAGCGAGGGCTGGTTTCTATCTGCTCTTCCAGGCTCCTGGCCAGAAGCTGGAGGGGGCTTGGCCAAGAAGAGGGAGCAGTAACTCAGCTGTTCTTTCTAGTTCTGAAATAGAAAATGTCTGCAGACGGTGGAGGCATCCAGACCACCCAGGACAAGGAGACAGCCCTGGAGGTATGGATGGGGCTGGGTGAGGGAGGCGTGCCATGGGAGAGGCTGGTGCGGAGGAGATTTCAAAGGCAGGGAGTCTGGACCCATGGAAGAGTTAGACTCACTGGGGAGGGGGGTCAAAGAGAAGGTGGCATGCTGGGTAGTACCCTCTGTCTGGAATTTACAGGATAACAGTTTTGCTTTCCTGGTGAATTCTGTAGTCAGTAGCCACAGGAGACGGCAGGGGGCTGGGTGGGGGTCCTATTGACGAAGTTTTCTATCTGAGCAGCACTCAGAGCATGCAGGGAAACCTGTTCTCCCTCCCTGTCCGTCTCTATCTGGAACCACAACTTCTCATCTCTCTGGGTCTGAGCTCCCAGTCCTTCTTCCTGCCTGTACCTGCTGCCTGTGTGTGCATGCATGTGTGTTTGAGTGTGAGAGTGTGTGTGTGTGTGTGTGTGTGTGTGTGATTACTATTTGCAGGGGACCTGGGTCTCCGGGCTTGGAGTCGGAGGAGGATGAGTCAGCAACAGGCCAGGGGCCCATCCCCTGGCCTCTGGAACCGGATGTGTCACTGTAACATGCAGATCACATACTTGCTGTTCCCACCTGCCTCGCAGGGTCATTGAGAGGCTCTAAGGAGATACTAGGCATGAGATGCCATCATCTATGGTTTTCACACCATAGAAGCACAAAGAATTGTTAGCATGGTTCAGTTTCCTGTCCACTTCCGTGTGCCCTGAACATCCTGCACCTGGGAGTGGAGCCCCACGGGTTGGCACTCTCTGCTGGCACTGGCTTCTGTCCCATGTGCACAGGAAGGGAAGAATGACCAGCACCAACCTGTGTTTATCCAGGACTTTCCTGAGCCAGCAGCTCCTTCTCCACCATTATCTGTGTGAACCCCATGACTGCTCTGTGCAGGTGAAGAGCAGCTATGTCCCAAAGGCTGCCTGGCTGGGGACGGGTGTCGCCAGGTCTGGCACCCAGGGACACCTGGCCTGAGGTTCTTTCCCTCCAAGACCCAAACAAAGATAGGGCACGGAGGAAGGTGTGAGGCCCCAGCAGAAGGCTGGCCAGTCCCTGTGCTGTAGATGAGGCCCCACCAGTGCCCTGCCTGACTTTCCTGAAGCTTTTGAGCTCTGTGGGGGCTGTTGTCTCCTCCCGAGCTGTGGTGTGTTCGTCTCCCGTGGCTGCTGTCACAAGTTTCCACTCTCTGGGGATCTGAAAACAACCAATTGGCCGGGTGTGGTGGGTCACGCATGTAATCCCAGCACTTTGGGAGGCTGAGGTGGGCAGATCACCTGAGGTCAGGAGTTCGAGACCAGCCTGGCCAACATGGTGAAATCCCGTCTCCACTAAAATACAAAAATTAGCCGGATGTGGTGGCACACGCCTGTAATCCCAGCTACTCAGGAGGCTGGGGCAGAAGAATCGCTTGAACCCGGGAGGCAGAGGTTGCAGTGAGCTGAGCCGAGATCATGCCATTGCGCTCCAGCCTGGGGAACAAGACCGAGACTTGATCTAAAAAAAAAAAAAGAACTAGAATTGACTTCTCACAGTCCTGGATGCCTGAAGTCCAAAATCTAGGGTCTGCAGGGTCACACTCCCTTTGGAAGCTCTAGGCTAGGAGGACCGGCCCTTGCCTCGTCCAGCTCCTGGGGACTCCTAGTGTCCTTGGCATGGCATGGGCATCCCTCCAGTCTGCTTCCTTCTCTGTGTCCTCTCCTATTCTTATAAGGACATAAGTCATTAGATTTTAGGCTCACTCTAAATCCAGGATGATTTCATCTCAAGATCTTTTTTTTTTCTTTTTCTTTTTTTTTTTTGAGATGGAGTTTCGCTCTTGTTACCCAGGCTGGAGTGCAATGGCGCGATCTCGGCTCACCGCAACCTCCGTCTCCTGGGTTCAGGCAATTCTCCTGCCTCAGCCTCCTGAGTAGCTGGGATTACAGGCATGCACCACCATGCCCAGCTAATTTTTTGTATTTTTGGTAGAGACGGGGTTTCACCATGTTGACCAGGATGGTCTCGATCTCTTGACCTCGTGATCCACCCGCCTCGGCCTCCCAAAGTGCTGGGATTACAGGCTTGAGCCACCGCGCCCGGCCTCATCTCAAGATCTTTAACTGACCTCTATAAAGACCCTTTTTCCCCAGTAAGGTCCCATTCTGAGGTTCAGGAAGGACACGGATTCTTAGGGAACATACTCAAGCCAATAAGCTTGGTTTCCTCATACACTAATAAACAGCAGTCGCCGGGCGCGGTGGCTCACGCCTGTAATCCCAGCACTTTGGGAGGCCGAGGCGGGTGGATCACGAGGTCAAGAGATCGAGACCATCCTGGTCAACAAGGTGAAACCCCGTCTCTACTAAAAATACAAAAAATCAGCTGGGCATGGTGGTGCGTGCCTGTAATCCCAGCAACTCAGGAGGCTGAGGCAGGAGAATTGCCTGAACCCAGGAGGCGGAGGTTGCGGTGAGCCGAGATCGTGCCATTGCACTCCAGCCTGGGTAACAAGAGCAAAACTCCGTCTCAAAAAAAAAAAACAAAAAAAAAACAAAAACAAAAAATAATAAAAAAAAAAAACCAGCAGTCTACACTGCTGTCGTCAGTGTGAGGCTGGAGCCTCTTCTTGCTGCCTGTCCTTCCTGGGGTGAGCTGGAGTGGAGGCAGCAAGGCCAGTCCTTCAAGCTTTGTCTTGCATGTGGGTTCAGACCCTGCTGGAACGCCCTGACAGGCAGCTCTGGGTGTCTCTCCCACTCGCCCGGCTCCTGATGGGGCTGTTCCTTCTAGGTTCCAGATCGTGGACATCCTCGTCAGGAAATGCTTTCTGGGCTGGGGGAGGCAGTGCCTCCAGGAGCCACTCAGGAGTCATCACACATTAAGATGGAGCCAGAGGAGCCACACCCCGAGGGGGCATCGCAGGAGGACGGGGCTCAAGGTGCATGGGGCTGGGCACCCCTAAGTCATGGTTCTAAGGAGAAAGCCCTCTTCTTGCCTGGAGGAGGTAGGAGAGGGACGGGGAAGAGAGGCTTTCCCAGGGAGGCAGCTGTGGGGAGGTCAAGGCTCGGCCCAGGTTCAGGTGGGGCTGAGGGTCTCTATGCCGGCAGGGGATGCGCTCTCCCCATGGCTCCCTACCCCCAGCAGCCTCAGAGCCATCCAACCCTGTCCTTGGGTTGGGCTGGGGGTGGAGTTTGAGGCAGCTAGGGTAGCAGCAGGTCCAGCAGGATGAGCTGGTCACCCTGAGGACCACTCTCCTCCCACAGCCCTCCCCTCCCCCCGGATCCCAGTGCTTTCCCGAGAGGGGAGGACCAGAGACCGGCAGATGGCCGCGGCGCTCCTCACTGCCTGGTCCCAGGTGAGTGGCCCTTCCCCAGCCCCTGCATGGTGCTCTGTTCTTCCGGCATCTGCTGGTTCTGTGCAAAGCCAGGACCCCGCTGGCCCCACTTGCAACCAAGCCCGAAGCCTGGGGCTCTTGCTAGTGCTGCTGGAATTGTCCAGGCTCGAGGCCCACAGTTAGACCTAGCCAAAGCTGGAGGAGAAGCAGCAGGAAGTAGAGACACAGGGGCTTTCACTGGAAGCTGTTGGGAGCCGTCTGAGCTGAGGATGGGGGCTGTATGGGCATCTGAGTCTTAACTGTAGTCCCTGAAAATACCATTTGGTCTCTTCTCAACTCCCCAAAAGGCCTCGGGTGACTCACCCACTTCCCCATCAGATGCAAGTGGCCGGCCTCACTCGAGACAGTGGGTTGGGAGTCCGGGGTCTCGCCACACATCTCATGTCATGATGTCCCTCCACCGTGTCCACAGCGTGTCCTGGAGAGTGGATGTTTCACATTGTTTCAGATGCCAGTGACCTTTGAGGATGTGGCCTTGTACCTCTCCCGGGAGGAGTGGGGACGGCTGGACCACACGCAGCAGAACTTCTATAGGGATGTCCTGCAGAAGAGAAATGGGCTGTCGCTGGGTAAGCACTTGCCTGATGGGGGGACTGGGTTGTCAGGGAGGGGTCCTGCTCTGCCGTCTCCTCTCTACTCCCTTTCCTCCCTCTCCCTCCCATCCTTCTCCTTGTCCCTCGAGACAGTACCATTCCATGGAAACTTCTGTAACAAGGGAAATGTTCTGCATGTGCTAGGATGGTAGCCACAAGCCCTGTGTGGCCGCTGAGCACTTGAAATGTGGGTAGAGCCCTCAAGTTTTTAACTTTAATTGGTTTTAATCAGCTCAAATTAGAGTTTAAATAGCCGCATGTAGCTAGCAGCTACTGTACTGGACGCTGACCCAGGAAGTCCGCTTTTCCTCGGTTCATCCGAAGGGCTCACTCCTGTAGCTCCAGCTTCCTTTCCAAGCCCCAACTTCAGAGGCGTCTGAGCAGCAAGCTTGCCTTCGGGGCCTGGGGGCTGCCTTCCCTGGAGGGAAATAACATGAGCTGGACTCCCCAGGCCCTGCAGACCCTGAGGTGTCCCAACTGCTTTGAGGAGCAGGTGCTTGTCTCCGAGGGGCTTTGGTTCCTTTCGTTTCTAGGATGGTAAGTATTTGAGTCACAGAGCTTTTTTTTTTTTTTTTGAGACAGAGCCTTGCTCTGTCACCCAGGCTAGAGTGGAGTGGTGCCATCACAACTCATGCAGCCTCAACTTTCTAGGTTCAAGTGATCCTCCTATGTCAGCCTCCTGAGAAGCCAGCACTACAGGCACCATCATGCCCAGTTAATTTTTTTCTTTTTGGTAGAAATGGGATCTCACTATGTTGCTCAGGTTGGTCTTGAGCTCCTGGACTCAAGCCATCCTCCTGCTTTGACCTCCCATAGTGTTGAGATTACAGGTGTGACCCACTGTGCCCAGCCATCCCAGAACTTTTGACTCCTCAGTTCCAGACTCTAGTTTTCATATGGAAAAATCAGTGTTCAGTCATTCATTAATTCATTCATTTATTAATTCATTCAGTTGATACCCAGGTATTGCACACTTGCTAACCCAGGCAGAATCCAGGACTCAGCAGTTCCAACTGGTGGCATCGTGGTGCCCAGGCCCCGCTGGCTGGCACCAGGGACGGTCACCCCTTTAATTAGCTCAGGCTGCACACCACTGCTCTTATGGTTCCCTGGGGCCTGGACCAGCAAGCCCAAGCAAGCCCTGGGGAATCAGAAGGAACTCAGCACCCATTTCAGCCCCATGGCAGGCCTCACAGACGCCCCAAGCCACCTGGTTGGTCCAACACATTCCTTTCCTCCCACTGGTGGCGGAAGCCAGGGCGTCTCTGCTCTCTTACTGAGTTGGCCAAAACTCCCGGGGCCACTCACCTCCAAGAGTCAACAAATGGGATGACCTCTTAGTCGTTGGCAACCCTGGCCCTCTTTGTTCCAAGTCCTCCCACATGGAGAGCCACTACCCGCCTCCAGCTGTGGGTGTAGGCGTGGGTTACTCGTCCAGTGGGTCATGATGTAGGGTGTTGCCCACTCCTCTCCCTTAAATGTTGTTGCTGGTTCAGGGAAAGAGGAGACAGGCCTACTCAGCTCAGAGGAGAGCAGCTTTGGCAGCCCCCAGCCAGGTGGCGGACCCCTACCCCCAGGGACTTCTTGAAGCTGCTTTATTTTACTCCATGTTTCCAGAGCCTCACCCCCCACTTTGGCCCCATCAGTTTTGGGGGATGATGTCTGCCACTGGGCAGCGCCAGCAGGCCTGTGATAGCATGGCACTTCTTTCTTGGCAGGCTTTCCCTTCAGCAGGCCTTTCTGGGCCCCCCAAGTGCAGGGCAAGGGTGAGGCCTCAGGCTCCAGCCGGCAGACAGGAGAGGAGAAGGAAGATTGGAGAGGCGCGTGCACAGGTGAGAGATGGGAGTGCGCCTTTGTCTAGGTGAGTGGAGTCCAGACATGGGTCTTCTGGCTGTTGTCTGTGGGAGCGGGGCAGGGCCGCCAGACCCCCTCCTCTGTAGAGGGCAGCCCTTGCACTTTCTGGTCTCCCAGAATCCAGCCCCCACCCTCAGTTCTGCCTTCTCTACCCATGGGGGCCCTTAGGGAAGCTTGTCCCTCGCTGGAAACGACTTTCTTTTTCCAGGACCCAACCAGGAGAGACAGGGGGTGCCATGCCCCAAGGGCGTGGCAGCCCTTGGAGATGTGAAGCCCTTCAGAATCAGGGCAGGGAAAGCCCAGGGGGCCGTCCCGCAGTGCGCGCAGGAAGCAGCCTGCGGCCGGAGCTCAGGGCTGGCCAGAGACGCCTGGCAGCCTGCGGATCCAGACAGCACCCCGGGTGCAGCCCCGCCCGACTCCAGTCCCCCGGAGCCCCAGGAGGGCCGTGTCCCAGGGAAGCCCAGCGAGGAGGAGAAGGGCGCCCCGGAGAGCGGCGAGGAGGGCCTGGCCCCTGACGGGGAGGCGGGCAGGAAGAGCTACCGGTGCGAGCAGTGCGGCAAAGGCTTCAGCTGGCACTCGCACCTGGTGACGCACCGGCGCACGCACACGGGCGAGAAACCCTACGCCTGCACGGACTGTGGCAAGCGCTTTGGCCGCAGCTCGCACCTCATCCAGCACCAGATCATCCACACGGGCGAGAAGCCCTACACCTGCCCCGCCTGCCGGAAGAGCTTCAGCCACCACTCCACGCTGATCCAGCACCAGCGCATCCACACCGGCGAGAAGCCCTACGTGTGCGACCGCTGCGCCAAGCGCTTCACCCGCCGCTCGGACCTGGTCACCCACCAGGGAACCCACACGGGCGCCAAGCCGCACAAGTGCCCCATCTGCGGAAAGTGCTTCACGCAGAGCTCGGCGTTGGTCACCCACCAGCGCACCCACACCGGGGTCAAGCCCTACCCGTGCCCCGAGTGCGGCAAGTGCTTCAGCCAGCGCTCCAACCTCATCGCGCACAACCGCACGCACACGGGCGAGAAACCCTACCACTGCCTCGACTGCGGCAAGAGCTTCAGCCACAGCTCGCACCTCACCGCGCACCAGCGCACCCACCGCGGCGTGCGGCCCTACGCCTGCCCGCTGTGTGGCAAGAGCTTCAGCCGGCGCTCCAACTTGCACCGGCACGAGAAGATCCACACCACCGGGCCCAAGGCCCTGGCCATGCTGATGCTGGGGGCGGCAGCGGCGGGGGCTCTGGCCGCGCCCCCACCCGCTCCCACCTAGGAGGCCAGGAGAGGGGGACCGGGGCGCCCAGGGCCACTGGGACAGCCCCACTGGTGTCAAAGCCCCGAGGGAGGAGAGAGGGGCGCAGGAAGGGAGCTGGGGCAGTAAGGGCATGGGGTGGGGCATGGCGACGTGGGAGGGGCGAGGGCGAGAAAGGGCAGGCACTCTGGCTGCGAAATTAAAGGCCTTGGACTTGGAGTTCCTGCCTACAACTCTGTCTCCTGAGGCCTTGGCACTGATCCCCCCCCAGCATGGGGAAGCTCCTGGGGCAATCCCTTGTCCTCAGTGAGGCATCCTCCGATGCCTCATTGGCTTGAGCATCCTCTCCTCCCCAGCCTCCACCCCTGGGTTGGGGTCCCTTTTGTCCAAGGCCCATTCCAGAGTATTGCACACATTGGCAAGCCAAGACTTCAGAGAGGTTTTCAAGGCCAGCCAGCCACTCCTGGACCTGGGGACCTCCTGCCAGGCTGTCTGCTGCTGTGTCACTTGTCCCGAGAGCACTGCTCACTGAACCCGCACTCCCCCTCGACTCTTCTCTTTGGAAGCCAGGAGGAGGCAGAGCTGGTGTGGAAACTCCTGCCTGCCCCATCTCCCACCCAGGCACTGGTGGCTGTGTTCTGTGACTGGTCTTTTCCGTCTGCTCCCACCATGGCCTGCCTGTGGTCCAGTGAGGGCTCCTTACTCACCAGGGGCCACTTTCCTTCTTGGCCCATGCTGCAGCTGCTGCCACCTGCCTCTGCTTTGTCTCACCTCCTTGGCCTCTTGGTATACGTCCTTTATAATTTGCCCTACTCACCTCTGCCTGGCTCTGATTTACTCCTGGTCTTCCCCTGTTTTTTGGCTTTGTTTTTTGTTTTTGTTTTTGAGATGGAGACTCACTCTGTCACCCAGGCTAGAGTGCAGTGTGGCACAATCTTGGCTTACTGCAACCTCCGCCTCCTGGGTCCCAGAGATATTCCTGCCTCAGCCTCCTGGGTAGCTGGGACTACGGGCATGTGCCACCATGCTCGGCTAATTTTTTGTAGAGAAGGGGTTTCACCATGTTGGCCAGGCTGGTATCAAACTCCTGATCTCAGGTGATCCACCTGCCTCAGTCTCCCAAAGTACTGGGATTATGGGCGTGAGCCCCTCGCCTGGCTTCTTCCCCTGGTTTTAACCTCTGCAGCTCCCAACTCCCATTCTCTGCTTTTTCCTCTGGGTGGGGATGAGCTCAGCCTGGCTGTCATCCCATATCTGTGGCCCAGCTCCTGAGATAACTTTCAGCTCTGACACCAACTGATCATGAGGATGTCTGCACCAGGGGGGCCATAGAGACCCCACCTGTCTCTGTGGATTATGAGGCCACCAGGGCGGCCACAGCCCTGGTTGGCTCCCAGCTCCAAACAAAAAGAGTGGCTTGCCTAGGACGATGGACTGAGGAGAGTAATCATAGCTGCCAGTTGTTAAGCAGCTGCTCTTCCAGGCATGGGGCCAAGCACTGTAGACTCAGCGCCCGGCTCTCCACAGCAATGTGAGTGGGTATTGCTAGCCCAGGTTTTTCCTTTCCTTTTTTTTTTGAGACAGAGTCGTTCTGTCACCCAGGCTGGAGTGTAGTGTGTAGTGGCACGATCTCAGCTCACTGCAACCTTTGCCTCCCCACATTCAAGCAATTCTCCTGCCTCAGCCTCCCAAGTAGCTGGGATTACAGGCATGTGCCACCATACCTGGCTATTTTTTTTTTTTTTTTTGTATTTTTAGTAGAGGCAGGGTTTCTCCATGTTGGTCAGGCTAGTCTTGAACTCCCAACCTCAGGTGATGTGCTCGCCTTAGCCTCCCAAAGTGCTGGGATTATAGGCGTGAGCCACCACGCCTGGCCGTTTTGTCTTTTTAAAAATAGAGATGGGGTCTTGCTATGTTGCTCAGGCTGGCCTTGGACTCCTGGGCTCAAGTGATCCACTCACCTCAGCTTCCCAAGTAGCTAGGACTACTGGTGTGCACCACTAAGCCCCATGCAGGGCTATCTAAAAGGAGGAGGACAAAGCTGGGCACAGCGGCTCACACTTGTGAGCCCAGCACTTTGAGAGGCCAAGGCGGGTGGATCATTTAAGGCAAGGAGTATGAGACCAGCCTGGCCAACCATGGTGAAAGTCTCTACTAAAAATACAAAAATTAGCTAGGCATCGTGGCAGGTACCAGTAGTTCCAGCTACTTGGGAGGCTGAGGTAGAATCACTTCAAGCCAGGAAGTGGAGATGGCAGTGAGCTGAGATCTTGCCACTGCACTCAGCCTGGGTGACAGAGTGAGACTCTGTCTCAAAAAAAAAAAAAAAAAGAAAATAGACTTGACCTTCAGGAATGTTAGACCAGGAAGGATTTGATGGTGTTCAGGTGGTCTCTAGAATCTAGGCTAAGGATGCTGGCAGGATTGGTTGAATTAAATGATTATTTATCAGGCCAGAAAAAAAAAAAGCTGTTTCCTCCCTTCAGCTTGTCTTCATGGCTCCAGTCACTCAGACAGAAATAGGATTGCTGTGCTTGGCTCAGGGTGAGGGGTGAAGGGAGACTCATTTGTAACGCAGGGTTGCTCTCAAAGAGTTTTTTTTTTTTTTGAGATGGAGGCTCACTCTATCACCCAGTCTGAAGCACAGTGGCGCAATCTCGGCTCACTGCAACCTCCGTCTTCCGGGTTCAAGTGATTCTCCTGCCTCAGCCTCCCCAGTAGCTGGGACTACAGGTGCATGCCACCATGCCCGGCTAATTTTTTGTATTTTTAGTAGAGATAGGGTTTCACTGTGTTAGCCAAGATGGTCTTGATCTCCTGAGCTTGTGATCTGCCTGCCTCGGCCTCCCATAGTGTTAGGAATACAGGTGTGAGCCACCGCGCCAGGCCAAAGAGCTCATTTTCTTAGCAACAGAGGTAGGAGAGTTGCTAAAATGACCCTGGAAGCTATCATCACTTGGCAAGAGAGCTGAGCAGAGTCCTCACTCACTCAGTGTGTTGCTTGCATTAATTTCAGTTCCTTATGCTGCGTGGTCAGCGTCCCAGGGACCGGGTGTCAGGACTTGAGTGATTCAGAGGTCTGTTGAAGCTGGGTGTGGTGGCTTATACCTGTAATCCTAGTATTTAAGGAGGCTGAGGCAGGAGGATCGTTTGACATCAGGAGTTTGAGACCAGCTTGGGCAATATAGCAAGGTTAATTATTCAATTAAAAAAAAGAGCCAAGCATGGTGGCACATGCCTGCAGTACCAGCTACTTGGGAGGCTGAGGTGGGGAGGCTGAGCCCGAGTAGGTTGTTGAGAAAACCGTTGAGTGATCCAGGGAGTCATTTAAAAACTTCACTTTGGCCTCCAGGGATCCCAGACAGCACACAGTATCCTGTTGAAATGTTTCCCCTTTGGTGGGACAGTACAGGGGCACAGGTTCCAAGGGTCCCTTGGAGGGCGCCTGCAGATTGCCACTTCCTAGGGCTGGGTCCACTTCGCCCTCTAGGGATCCCTCCAGAGTCCCCATTACTCTTGCCCATAGATCTGGCAAGAGTATCTTAAGAGTGGAACTTGGCAGTTGGGAAATATTCGACAATCGCAAGTAAGACACGCGGGAGTACGGGCTGTGCCATGAAAGGGCCTGGAACGCCAGGCTTATGGGTTCTCATAGCTTGGTGGGTGATGGGCGTCACTGGTGGGAGGCTGGAGGGAAGAAGCCACTGAACGGTCTTGGTGTCTCCCAGGGTAGAGGGTGAGCAGGTTCAGCGGTTTCCCTGGCTTCCTTGGGGCTTCTCGGCCACTGGAAAACCCCACCAGATCATCACTGACGCTGTGTCAGGAGCACGGTGAGGGCGGAGGCAGAGAGGCAGGAGGTTTCCATCCTGGCTTCCCACCTGCTTCCCTGATGCCCCAGGTCCCTGTTGCAGGCGCTAACGGATCGGCTGGCGGCTCCGCCCCCCTGAGCCGGGGGCGTCGGCCTCAGCGCAGTCCTTGCCTAGGACAGCAACTCCCAGCTCCCAGGCCCGGTCCGGCGGTGAGGCCGGGAGTCCGCGGGGTCCCAGGGCCCAGCCTTTCGCTCTGCTGCCCCATCACCCGCCAGACTGAGTCCCAAGAGGCCACGCCCCCCGCTCGGCCCTCAGCCAATCAGACAACGGGGCGGGGAGAAAGGCGTCTCTAGCAAAACCAACCAATCATGGCTGACGTTTGTTCCCGGTACGACCCTCCCCCTGCCACGCCCCAAACCGCATGGTTGCCCCGGCAACTGCTTCAGGTTCCAGGGTTTGAAACGTTCCCTCTTACCTTTCGTAGGGCGTTCGTTACCGAAGGAAGCAAAGACCAAAGGGCTGGACTCCGTTTTGCTGCAGACCTCAGTCGTCACAGCCCGCCCCGCTCCGTCCCGCCACTGACTTCCTGGGTCTATCACTGAGATGCCGAGCCTCCGGCAGTCCTAGAGAGGACATGGCTCAGGGCCAGGACCACTTCCGGCTTTGGGCGGCCACTTCCGTCCCCGATGACTGCCCGCCAATTAGCTGCACTGGTTCCTGCGCCAGGGCTGAGTGGCTTCGCAGCACCTGCTGCGGCGCTGGAGCATCTTCCGAGCTCCCAAGCAGTGGCTGACTGTGCTGCCAGCTATCGTGCGGCCACGGCCGGCGGAGAGCGCTGGGGAGCAGAGGAAACGCGCGGGCAGTGCGAGGCCGCTCGCGGCTCTAGGATGCCTGAGGGGCAGAGGGCGGCAAACGTTAGGGCTGGCCGGGCGCGGTGGCTCACGCCTGTAATTCCAGCACTTTGGGAGACCGAGGCGGGTGGATCACGAGGTTGAGTTCGAGACCAACCAAGCTAACATGGTGAAACCCTGTCTCTACTAAGAATACAAAAATTAGCCGGCCGTGGTGGCGCGCGTCTGTAATCCCAGCTACGCGGGAGGCTGAGGCAGGAGAATCGCTTGAACGTGGGAGGCAGAGAGCGCAGTGAGCCGAGTTCGCGCCACCGCACTCCAGGCTGGGCAGCAGAGCAAGACTCTGTCTCGAAAAACAAGACGGCCGGGCGCGGTGGCTCATGCCTGTAATCCTAGCACTTTGGGAGGCCGGGGAGGGTGGATCACCTGAGGTCAGGAGTTTAAGACCAGCCTGGCCATCATGGTGAAACCCCATCTTTAAAAAAAAAAAAAAAAAAAAGACAACAACAAAACAGTACGGGCATTGCTCCATTCCTCACATGTTCATCTTTCTTTTCTTTCTTTCTCCTTTTTTTGGGGGGTAGGGGACAGAGTTTTGCTCTTGTTGCCCAGGCTGGAGTGCAATGGCGCTATCTTGGCTCCCTGCAACCTCCGCCACCCAGGTTCAAGCCCTTCTCCTGCCTCAGCCTCCTGGGTAGCTGGGATTACAGGCATGCGCCAGCACACCCGTCTCATTACTACTGACCTCAGGTGATCCACTCGCCTCGGTCTCCCAAAGTGCTGGGATTACAGGTGTGAGCCATTGTGCCTGGCCAATTTTTATATTTTTAATGGGGTTTCACCAGCCTCAGGTGAGGCTAGTCTTGAACTCCTGACCTCAAGTGATCCACATGCCTCAGTCTCCCAAAGTACTGGGATTACAGGGATGAGCCACCGTGCCCGGCCTCACTGGTTCATTTTTAAATACAAAATGAATGCCTCCTAATTTAGCAAAACAAAGGTCCTTTACTAAATGTTGAGTCCTAAGTGATGAAAATTCCAGACAAGACCCTTGCCCTGATGGGGTTCCAGTGTAGTGGGGTAGACTGACAGACACATACATGGCACACACTTTAAGTAGTGACAGATGCCAGAAAGAAATGAACTAGGTGAAGCAGCAGAGGAGGTTGGAGCTTCATTGTCAGGGAAGCCCCCTCCAAGGAGGGGACATTTAAGCAGTGACTTGAAGGGTGAGAAGGCAACTTACAAGGATCTGGAGTAAAAACCTTTCAAGCAAAGGGAACAGGATAAACATGAGGAGAAGACTGGTGCCCAGAAGCTGAAATGATCCCCTCAAACCCCACTCCCCCGTGTGGAAGGGAGGGGAGCCAGGAGATAAGGCTGGAGAGATGAGACTCGTCAGGGGGCTGTGGCTCGAGGCTTCTCCCCAGTGTCCTGTGAAGGGTGGAGAATGGGATGAAGACAGCCCAGCCTTCCTCATCGCACGCTTCTCTGGCAGCCTGAGATGTGGGGTCAGGTGGGCTTCCTGCCTGGGGTAGAGGCAGCACCCAATGAATGACCTACACCTCAGTAACTTAAGACAGTGATTTTTCTGTTCTCGACTAAGAAAGCCCCAGGCAGTCATGAAGATGAACACAGATCTCACAGAGCAACCACAGAGCTTTTCAAGGAATCAGGTGATCGTGTCATTAATGCCTTTCTCAGATACTTAGTGAAGCCAGTGTCTACTGGTAAAGATAGCTGGGGATAGGGTGGGTACACAGGTCACACATGATAAGGCCACTCAACATTTCCATCTTTCTAAGGAGAAGGAGCCTTTGGGTTTCTTCTTTCCTATCATGCATTTCAGGCATCTCTGTCTTGTTAACTGAAGGCCACCACTGAGTCCAAATTTCACCCAACCAATGGAGTAAACTGCTAAAAAGCCACCAACAGCCACACGCTAACATTAAATTTGAAGTCTACTAAATGCACCTATATTTTCTCTTTTTTTTTTTTTTTGGACGCAGAGTCTTGTTCTGTCACCCAGGCTGAAGTGCAGTGGCATGATCACAGCTCACTGCAGCATTGACCTCTCAGGCTCAAGTGATCATCCCCCTCATCCTTCTGAGTAGCTAGGACTGTAGGTGCCCATCACCACACCCTGATAATTTTTGTATTTTATGTTTCAGCTATGTTGCCCAAACTGATAATAAACTTCTGGGCTCAAGCGATGATCCCCCTGCCTTGGTCTCCCAAAGTGCTGGGACTACAGGTGTGAGCCACTGTTCCCGGCCTCATCTCATCTCTTATATTCTGTCCACTTTGGTATGCTGTCCCTAGATTCTACTCTTGGATCTGTCCCTCAGGTTTCTGCTAGTATATATTAGCAAAGTCTGAATAATTTAAGTGTATAAGCTATTTCCTCCTGGGTCATAATGTGTATCTTTCCTCTCTCTCTGTTTTAGAGATGGAGTCTTGCTTCCAGCTCACCTAGGCTCGAAGTGCAGTGGCGCCATCTCGACTTACTGAAACCTCTACCTCCCAGGTTCAAGTGACTCAGCCTCTCGAGTAACTGGGATTACAGTCACCTGCACCTGGCCAGGATCACCTTCTTTACCAATCAATACAGTAACTTTCACATGACAGATTTGTTGGGACTGTAAATTTAGCTGTCATTATTATTCAGTAATTCTACAGTTAAGTTTTGTGTTTGATTCTCAGTGATATTATTGTGGCTATAAGAAATAAGAGCTGTGCCGGGCAGGGTGGCTCACACCTGTCATCCCAGCACTTTGGGAGCGTGGGTAACCCCCCATGTAGGCACCGAGGACGGAAAGTGAAACAGAATCCCGGCACAATTAGTGCCTGAATATCTGAGTTTATAGTGTTACTACTCAGTTATTTCCTTTTATGTAATCCTTTATATATAATCATATATTAGTTTATAGGACGAGTGCCTGAAGAATATCTTACCACTCAGTTATTTCCATATATATATATAATTATATCTTAGTTCATAGTCGGGGGAATGCCTAGAGTAGACACAGTAGAGAGAATGAATTAAGGAATATGCAGCTTATAGTTGGAGGAATGTCTGGAGCAGACACAGTGCAGAGCATGATTTAAAGGGAAAACAGTTATACCAGGACAAGAATCCATGGTCCAGGCGGCAGCGTTCAGTATCGTAAAGATACCCGCTCTATGGCAGGCTTGGGGCAAGAGCCACTCCTCCTGATAAAGGAGCTCTAGGACCTTGCTCCAGTTCTTGTGAAATGCTGTCCTCAGACCGGCAATCCACCTTGGTGACTGTGAACTTTATCAGCTCATGTTACTGTGCTGGCTCAAAAGCGTCCTCCTATAGAACTCATTGAAAGCTGCCAGCAGGTGGCGGTAAACCCTGTCAGCTCTTTCACTGCTGTGTGACTCAGAGCAACCTTCTATAGATAGCCTTACAAGTAGCATGCCCATAGATAATATATATTGCGCACTGCACCCTCTTCACTGCGCACAGCTCACCTCCATGCCCCTGTGACCTAATGGGGGTGAACCCCTCACTGTGCATGGCCCACCTCCATGCCTCGGTGACCTAATGTGGGTGGACCCCTTGTTTACTGCTCACAACCCTATCACTATCCTAAAGATGACTTCACTCATTACCCTGCCTCCTAACCTATACCCAATAAATACAGACGCTTCTGGACATTTGGGGCCTCGCCTGTCTCTGCTTATAAGTGGGGTGGTCCCACTGAGCCCAGCTGTGCTTTCTTTGTACTTCTGTGTCCTGTTTCTTTATTTCTTGAATCCTGCACCTCAGCACAGCGATAGGGGACACCCCACAACCCTGTAGGGCTGTCACCCTACAGGGAGGCTGAGGCAGGTGGATCATGAGGTCAGGAGATTGAAACCATCCTGGCTAACATGGTGAAACCCCATCTCTATTAAAATAAAAAAAATTAGCCGGGCATGGTGGCACGCACCTGTAGTCCCAGCTACTTGGGGGGCTGGGGCAGGAGAATCGCTTGAACCCCGAGGGTGGAGGTTGCAGTGAGCCAAGATTTCGCCACTGTACTCCAGCCTGGGTGACAGAGCAAGAAAAAGAAGAGCTGCTTCTAAGCTAGCACAGAAGTTCTCAGGTTCTCTGACCATGACTTGAACTGAACTAAGCGACTTGGGCTTGTCATTTTCTCACTGTAAATGCTCAAGCGCACTAAAAATAATGTATCCCATGCTATTATACATCTGTGGCACATAATGGTCAAGTGCGGCAGCTACTTGTTCCCACCAGGTACATGCTTTCATTGGCACTTCATAATCAACTGCAGGTGGCTGCTTGCCTGTACTCTCACTGCACGCCGTGGATAACAAGCATCCTGTGATGGTTAATTTTATGTGTAAACTTGACTGGGCCAAGGCATGCCCAGACAGCTGGTTAAACATTATTTCTGAGTGTGTCTGTGAGGGTTTCTCAAGAAGAGATTAACGTTTGAATTGGCCAAGTGAGTAAAGCAGACAGCCCTCAACATGGGTGGGCATCATCCATCCAGTATGGAATTAAATGGAACATCAAGGCAAAGGAAGGCTGAATTCTGTCTGTTCCTGAGTACTTGAGACCTGGGTCCTGGGAAACTGATCTCCTGGTCTTGTGCTCCTGATTCTGAGGCCTTCAGTCTTGAATTGGACTCTACACCATTAGCTCTTTGGCATTCAGGCCTTAAAACTACAATACTGTTAGGAGGCCAAGGCAGGTGGATAGCTTGAGCCCAGGAGTTTGAGACCAGCCTAGGCACTACAGAGAGATGCTGTCTCTATAGGAAAAAAAAAAAAAAAGAAAAGAAAAGACAGAAAAAGTTAGCTGGGTGTGGTGGTGTGCACCTGTAGTCCCAGTTGCTCAGGAGGCTGAGGTAGGAAGATTGCTTGATCTGGGGAAGGCGAGGCTGCAGTGAACTGTGATTTTGTTTCACTGCAGCCCCGCCTGGGCAACAGAGGGAGACCCTGTCTGAAAAAAATGCTACAGCACTGGCCTTCTTGGGTCTCCAGCTTGCAGATAGCATATTGTGGGGCTTCTCAACTGCAATAATCATGTGAGCCAATACCTTAGTATATATAGATAAAGCCATATATATATACATATATATATATCTTTTTTTTTTTTTTTGAGACGGAGTTTCGCTCTTGTTACCCAGGCTGGAGTGCAATGGCGCGATCTCAGCTCACCACAACCTCCGCCTCCTGGGTTCAGGCAATTTTCCTGCCTCAGCCTCCTGAGTAGCTGGGATTACAGGCACGTGCCACCACGCCCAGCTAATTTTTTGTATTTTTACTAGAGACGGCGTTTCACCATGTTGACCAGGACGGTCTCAATCTCTTGACCTCGTGATCCACCCGCCTCGGCCTCCCAAAGTGCTGGGATTACAGGCGTGAGCCACCACGCCCAGCAAGCCAGATATATCTATCTTTATGTAGATATATTAGCCGGGCACGTAGTGGCACGTGACTGTAATTCCAATTAGGAGGCTGAGGCAGAATAGGTGTGTGTACACACACACACATACAGCTCTCTCTTGGCCAGGCATGGTGGCTCATGCCAGTAAACCCAGCACTTTGGGAGGCCGACGTGGGCGGATCACCTGAGGCCAGGAGTACAAGACCATCCTGGCTAACATGGTGAAAACCCATTTCTACTAAAAATTATCTGGGTATGGTGGTGCGTGCCTGTAATCCCAGCTACTTGAGAGGATGAGGCAGGAGAACCGCTTGAACCCAGGAGGCAAAGGTTGCAGTCAGCTGAGATCACACCATTGCACTCCAATTTGGGCAACAAGAGTAAAACTTTGTCTCAAAAAAAGAAAAAGTAGCTCTCTACTTCGCATACTTGTGCAGTCTCTCTCTCTCTCTACACACACACACACACACACACACACACCCCAACCATCAAGCAGCCACATGCAGTTGATTAAAGACTCACTTGAGCATTTACAGTGAGTTTTTCTGTTTCTGGAGAACCTTTATAACACATATCCTATTTCTTATTGTCAAGGAGCTCAGTCTGCACTTAAGCCCAGACTCAAATTAGTCCCTTCTTTGTGCATCTATCTCTTGAGACCACTTCTTATACTAATTTTGTATCAAGCAGGGTCCAATCAGGAGAGGGGAAGCACACAATAATTTGAACTGGGAAAGTTTAATACATAGAATTAAGCTAGCAGCTGGGCGAGGTGGCTCATATCTGTAATCCCAGCACTTTGGGAGGCCAAGACAGGCAAATCACCTGAGTTCGGGAGTTCAAGACCAGCCTGACCAACATGGAGAAACCCTGTCACTACTAAAAATACAAAATTAATCAGGCATGGTGGTACATGCTTGTAATCCCAGCTACTTGGGAGGCCGAGGCAGAAAAATCGCTTGAACCTGGGAGGCGGAGGTTGCAGTGAGCTGAGATCATACTACTGCACTCCAGCCTGGGTAACGAGCAAAACTCCATCTCAAAAAAAAAAAAAAAGAATTAAGCTATAAAGGGCTTGGCATTGCTGGGCCCAGGGCTCATGCCTGTAATCACAGCACTTTGGGAGGCCAAGGTGGCCAGATCACATGAGGTCAGGAGTTCGAGACCAGCCTGACCAACATGGTGAAACCCCGTCTCTACCAAAAATACAAAATTAGTCAGGCATAGTGGTGCATGCCTGTAATCTCAGTTACTCAGGAGGCTTAGGCAGGAGACTCACTTGAATCCAGGAGACAGAGGTTGCAGTGAGCCAAGATTGAGCTATTGCATTCCAGCCTGGGCAAGAGAGCAAAACTCCATTTCAAAAAAAAAAAAGAGAGGCGGGGCACGGTGGCTCACGCCTGTAATCCTAGCACTTTGGGAGGCCGAGGTGGGTGGATCACCTGAGGTCAGGAGTTCAAGACCAGCCTGGCCATTACGGTGAAACCCCATCTTGAAAACAGAAAAAAGAAAAAAAAAAAGGAGAAAAAGAGAAAAAAAAAAAGAAAGAGCTTGGCATTTTCAAGGGTTTGGCTGGTAAGAAGTAAAGAGGATTCTATTTAGTCATAGCAGATAGCAGCAACCATACATTCTGGCCTGAGTTTGAACACTCAGGCAAGAGGTTTCTCTGGCCCTGGGCTTATATCCAGACCTTGAAGAAGGCACATCTGCAGTTCACGGCATGGCAGAGAAGTGGCTGTGGTACCACATGGGCAGAACTTGCTGGAAATCCATCCTCAATGGTGGAAAAAGCTGCTCACAGGGAGGTGTCTCATGAGATGCTCTGCTACAGAACTACCTGAAGAGGGTGGCGGAGAAAGCTGCTAGCAGGCAGGCACTGGAGGTTGTGCAGGTTGTGGGCACCTGCTGTCACAGGAGCTGCCCATGCTGCGGGAGCTGGGTGCTGGCAAAGCCCGGGGTGCTGCGGAAGCCAGACTGGGAAGAAGTCACCCATCAGGCCGGAGCCTGGAGAGAACACACCGGAAGCCGGAAGCAGAAAGGGAAACTCCATTCTCCGGCAATGTCTCTCCAGCGCCCTCTACTGACAAAGCTTAAAATCATGCCAGCTGGTAAAGGAAAAACTAAAGGGCCAGAAGCATTTCACTGAGCAGGCAATGCAGGATAAATATGGAGCTGGGACGTAATAAATAACTAGCACAGGTTTATATTATTATTCATCTGTAGCAGCCTGCCAAAGGTTCCGTATAACATCCTTGCAGCAGGTACTGACACTTCAAGCACTATAGGGTCCAGCCCTACAGGGTTCTGTGAGCCGCCCCCGCCTGGGGCGGAGACAAGAAATTGTAGAAATGAAAGACACAAGACACAGAGACAGAGAAAAGAGAGTTTGGGCCCAGGGGTCCACTGTTACCCAAATCGCCGCGGAGACCAGCAGTGGCCCCGAATGCCGGGATGCTCTCACTTTTATTGAATTGCAAATCTGGGGGCAGGGTAGGTAGGGCGCGTTCTTAGAGGTCAGAGACTGGGGACAGGGTAGACAGGGCGTGGCAGTGATAGGGTTAAGTACATCACCTGTCATTCAGGTAGGCGCTCAGGAATTTCTGGCACCTGAAGTGAGATAAGGAGCATAATGCATCAGCACTTTTTCCATACTTATCAATAAAGAACTAAAACATTATGATTTATATTACTATTACTGATTATCTCTTCTAAGAAAAAAGGAGCCAGGTGCAGAAGCAGAACATGAGAGTACACAGGGAACGTGACCACCGAAGCACAGCACCACATAGAGACAATTAAGCCCCCAGATGTCTGCGGGTGTACCTGACAGCCGTCAGGCCTACTGCAAGAGCTTGGAGAAGTGGAGTTTTCTCCTAACTTTCCCAGGAAGGAGATGTCTCCTTCCCTAGCTGACTAAACACTGGGGCTTTCCCAGCCCTGGCGCTGCCACACAGCTGGGGCGCCCTCCAGCAGCCCTTATGCGGGTGTCACAGAGGGCTTACAGCATCTTGCCTTAATGTCATTCATTTCACAATGTCACCCCAGGTTCACACTTCCAAGCTGAGAGGCATTAGTCAAAGAATTAAGATCACCTATGAATAACTAAGATCACATATGAATAACTAATAACGACTCTGGTTATATTTCTAGTTACTTCCTTCTTTGCTATTTATTTGGAAATAGGCTGAGGCCTTTTGCTCCTGCCTCGGTGCTATGGGATCTCCCCTCTACAAGGCACCACTGAACCTGCCAGATAACGGCCCACGTTGCAGAGCAGCCAATCAAAACTGGAGCATATTTAGATCATTTGGCAAATAGGACACTCAAGCAGTCCTATAGGGAGGTCTATGTGGGGAAGAACTGAGGTCTCCTGCCAAGAGCCATGTGAGTGATCCGCCTTCCAAGTGGGTCCTCCAGTGCCAGAGGACTAGGGCCTTTGTTGGTGTGGTGTCTGCAGTATCATGGGATCTCGAGCCAGAATTACCTAGCTTAGCAGCTCGCACTTTTTCTTTTCTTCTTCTTGTTTTGTTGTTGTTGTTTGTTTGTTTATTTTTTTGAGACAGAGTCTTGCTCTATAACCCAGGCTGAAGTGCAGAGGCACGATCTTAGCTCACTACAACCTCTGCCTCCCAGGTTCAAATGATTCTTCTGCTTCAGCCTCCTGAGTAGCTGGGATTACAGGTATGCACCACTACACCCAGCTAATTTTTTTATTTTTAGTAGAGATGAGGTTTCACCAGTTTGCCCATGGAGGTCAAACTCCTGACCTCAAGTGATCTGCCCACCTTGGTCTACCAAAGTGCTGGGATTTCACTGCACCCATCCTGTTTTATTTTTTTAGATGGAGTCTCACTCTGTCACCCAAGGCTGAGTGCAGTGGCATGATCTCAGGTCACTACAACCTCTGCCTCCCAGGTTCAAGGGATTCTCCTGTCTCAGCCTCCCGAGTAGCTGGGATTACAGGCACCCACCACCATGATCGACTAATTTTTGTATTTTTAGTAGAGACGGGTTTTCAACAGGTTGGCCAGGCTGGTCTTGAACTCCTGACCTCAGGTGATCTGACTGCCTCAGCCTCCCAAACTGCTGGGATTACAGGCAGGAGCTACTGCACCTGGCCTCCATGTTGCTTCTAACTTCCTAGCTGCCCTTGTTCATTTCTGGGTGTAGGGTGACTAATTTTGGAAGGAATTTAGTTGATAGTTACAGCCTTTTCCCAAAACAAACCTCCTTCTTGCCTGGAGACCAGACTGCCTTTGTAAGACTAACAAATTAGCCACAAGATTAGAAATCGTGGTTTCGGAGTCATGCAGCCAGAGGCTGTAAGATTCCAAACCGCTCCAATTGCTCCTAGGGATAACATCACTCTCTTAACATCTAAGATTAGTGGTGGAGATATTTTTCAAGCCCTGCACTCTGATGCACCAGCAGGCACTACCCAGACCAGTAATCTGGCTCAACCAGTTCTGCAATCCCACCCAGGAAGGTGAGACAGCAAGAAGAACCCACTGGACCACCTGTGATTTCATCTCAGGCCCAAACGATCAGCACTCCTCACTCCTTGGCCCCATAGCTGCCAAATTATCCTTTAAAAACCACAGTCATTGACTTTTCAGGGGGATTGATCTGAGTAATAAAACTCTGGTCTTCCATTCAGCCAGTTTTGTGTGAATTAAACCATTTCTCTATTGCAGTTCTCCAGTATTGATTAACTGGCTCCATCTGGGCAGCCGGCAAGGAACTTGAGGCAGCGGACAGTGTTGGAGCCTGCATTTTTCAAACTGTGGCCCTCATGGGGCTATAACAGTCCATTTTGCAGCTTTAGGGACTATGAAGGATACAGCCAGTTGGGCAAATCTCAAGCACCAGCTAAAAGCAGAGCAGCCACTGCTATCTCCTATACATTGGGCTTTCTCTTATGATTCCTGGACAAGGAAATTCTGTTGCTTCAAAGTATTGAGGTAAACCACGTCCCTGAAACTCTTGCCAGCACAGCTAAAGAGGCAGAATGAGGCCAATGAGGCTGTACTGAAGAGGTAGGTAAGTCCGGGGCCATGTTGGTAGCACCAAAAATGTGGCAGCCGGCTGGGCACGGTGGCTCACGCCTGTAATCCAAGCACTTTGGAGGCCAAGGGGGACAGATCACCTGAGGTCGGGAGTTCAAGACCAGCCTGACCAACATGGTGAAACCCTGTCTTTAAAAAATAAAATAGATCGGGCGCGGTGGCTCACGCTTGTAATCCCAGCACTTTGGGAGGC